AAACATTTATTGACTAAGGACCAAGAAGAATAGTCCCCTCTGCAGTGACTCTTGTCTAAACATTTATTGACTAAGGACCAAGAAGAATAGTCCCCCTCTGCAGTGACTCTTGTCTAACAGTCAAAACTGTCTATGCAGAGCCTGAACACGAGAACTTTGTCTCCCAGTCTTAATGACAGCTTTCAAGTTCCTTTATTCTCACTCCTCTACATCATTGTTCATGTCGTCACTACCTCTTAGTCCATAAACTGACCTACTCACACATTCCACATGTAGATGAGAAGGTCATCCAGAATTTTTAAACATACAGAACCTTCATAAAAGGTAGATACTCCACAGTGATTTGTGGAGTCAACAAGAGTGGACTCTCTTATGTAAAGGGTAGTAGTCTTCCTTATTTGGTACAAATCTTAGGTACATACATAAGTAAGTATGTAAGCAAAATGGAATGTGTAAAAATGTTTGTAATGATTTTATTTTTTTAATCTGTAAGTAGGAACAATAAAAATTGTGTACTTAAAACCATTTCTTGGCACTACAGGATAAAACCACTATAGGTAATAACTCAAAAGAAATCCAAAAAGTGAATTTGATTGAGAAATGGCTCTTGCATCTGTGAAGCTTGATCTGAGCCTAACTGTATGCCATCTTTGAAGGAAGAAGAAGCCAGAGGGATGTACCGTACCTCTCCTTCTAGTATTTGAGTGGCCACATCTTTGCCAGTTTTGGCAGGAATGAAGAGTGGAGTCGGTGGTCTGTCCAGAAATGCATCTGTCTGGCATTCCATGTCGACTTCCACTATACGGTCAGCAATTTCTTCAAGGTATAATTCTAGGAAGAGCATTATGTACAGTGGGCTTACAATTAATGATGGTTTATTTTAGGCATACACACATATTTGAAATGTCAGCTCACCACAAATAGAATTAAGTTACCCAGCATGGTGACACACACCTGCAACCCCAGCACTTAGGAGGCTGAGGTGGGGAGCTCGATTTAAGGCCTACCTAGGGCCCACAGTGAGTCAGAGGCCCACAGTCAGAGGTTGCATCTCTAGCAAATACAGGATTTGCTATAATAAGTGGGCTAAGGGCCTGGGAATTTTAAGGATCATGCACCAAACCAACTTGCTCTTTGGTGCTCCCTCTATGCATAGTTTAGAAACAGACACAAATAGATGTCACATGAATAACGTGATGAGGTGGGGCAATGTGGCAGCACACGAAGAACTTGAACACTAGTATCGGATGCTGAACACAGGATCCAGCCAAGATACAGCTCTCCACCCTCAGTGTCTCATGTGCAAAAAGGATCAAAGTTACTCGTCACACAGACTCTTTTTAACATGAGAGTCACAGGTAAAGGGCCAGAGGCCGCAGTAAATAAAAAGTAGGGGCTGTATCATTTAATATTTCATTTGGTATAAAGCTCTGTGGCCAGTCTTCTATGGTTATGACATCATGTGGCATCTACAAAATTAATGCTTGAGATCTGCACAATCAAGGTACAAAAAAAAAAATTAGTAAAACCTCTCATGTTTTGAGTTTACAGTTTCGTGTTGCCCACGTTTATAGCTTTTTGACACACCTAGGACCAAGACTAAGCCTTAGGTGTCTGAATCACTTTGACATTGACTCATTCCAGGCTTGGTTCAAGGGCAGGGGGAAATAGTGTACTTTATTCTTTTTGCTTTTTCTTCAGATATTTCGTGATGAATCTGCTCATGGTCTTCACTGGATAGGAGGATCTCAAGTCACATCAGTCTATAGAAAACACCAAGTACTGTCAGCTTACCAAGACTCTGTCAACAAGAAATACCTTGCCCAGCATGGCTTGGTCCTGGAAACTTGACTAGGGGCATCGAGGGAACGAAGAAAGGACAGACACACAGACACATGTACAGAAAAGCTGGGGTCCGGTGGGCCGTGCCCACCCTGATGGAGTGGCAGCTGCTATCACAGCAGCCCAGAACCTCCCAACATTTATGGGTGGGGGTGGGAAGTGGGTCGCTCGTCTCTGTAGAAGGCGTCTGCAGGCAAGCAGTCACAGGTTGTAAGCATCTGGGAGGAGAAAGCTGCAGCTGCTAGTTTTTGCACACACTGGTCAGTCACCTGTAAACACTCATCCTTGCACACTGTCAACATTCACACTCAGACCAGTACAAGGCTTTGCCAATCTCCTGTGGGTCTGAAGCATTAGTCCTTGACACGGTTGTGCCCATGTCAACAATACACATTGACTCAACTTCATCTGCTGTTTACACATTCACTCAAGGCTTCCTCTGCTGTTTACACATTGCCTGAGGGCTTCCTCTATTTACACATTCACTCAGGACTTCCCCTGCTGTTTACACATTCAGTCAGGGCCTCCTAGCTCCCCATAATGAAAGCCTGCACAGCTGACTAGAGAGAGAAGCAGCAAACCTTGGAAGCTGCTTTAGGGTCATCTATGTGCCAAGTCATGGCGTGCAAAGGCGAGAGAGGCCAGTGTGAAAGGCTGGTGACTAAATGCTAGCGGTTCACTCTTTCTGACAGACAAGTCAAATGTCCAGGGCTGCAATGCTCTCCTGGCAGTCTTGATGAAATTAAGTGACTTGTGTTGGGTTGTGAGTAATAATCCTAGTTTGAAATTGTGCTGGCTAATTGTGTCAACTCGACACAGGCATCTGAGAGGAGGGACCCTTAACTGACAAAATGCCTCCTTAAGATCTGCTGTGGGCAGGCCTGTAGGACATTTTCTTAATTAGTGATTGATAGGGGCGGGCCCAGCCCATTGTGGGTGGTGCCGTCCCTGGGCAGGTGGTCCTGGGTTCTATATGAAAACAGGCTGAGCAAGCCATGAGGCGTAAGCCAGTAAGCAGCGCCCCACTGTGGCCATGCATCAGCTCCTGCCTCCAGGCCCCTGCCCTGTTTGAGTTCCTGTCCTGACTTCCTTCAGTGACGGACTGCTTACGGTGGAAGTGTAGGTCAAATAAACCCTTTCCTCCTGACTTGCTTTTGATCATGGTGTTTGATGGTAGCAGTAGCAACCTTAACTAGGACAGTCATATAATACGGGGGAAAGGCGAGGAGAGAATGTAGTCAGGAAACTCTTTTATCACAGCAAATCCCTACTTCCAGCACTCCCAACATTATAATAACATGCTCTCCGTGTGTCTGTTTACTCAACAGACTTCCTACCATGAGCTAGGGAGGGACCGACAGGCACAGACGATCCCTAAATAACAAGAAGGACAGAAAACCTAAGTCCCAGCGGGCCGACATGATGCCTCGGCATGGCCACGTACCCGTCTGCACGTCCACGTGCTTTCTGCCCTCCACGGGCTCAGGCGTTCGTGGTCGGAGCTGCTCTTGGGCTCGTTTTCTGGCAAGAGCCCTCCTCCTGGCCTGCTGCTGTCGCTGAAGCTCTAGAGGATCAGGCTGACCGGGCTGAGAGGGACAGACAAGGCTCAGAAACATCAGGCATCAGCTCTCACAGCAGGCAGCCGCTGACAGTGACCATGCCTTCCTGGCTAGCACCAGCACGGTGTCGGCCAGCGCCTCCTAAGACCGATGGTGGGGCACGGCCATGGTGCTGGAGTGTGGTCAGGCCATGCCAAGCTAGCAACAAATCCACATAGGACACGTGGGTGTAGGGTCCTAGCTAATGACCCATTTTCCCTCAATCAGCATGTTTACCGCCAGTTCCCCGGGTGCCTGGTAGAATGGACTCAGTTTGTCACAGTAAACTTTAGTGTCTAGTTAACTGAAAACCACTAGGATTTTTTTAAAAATCTGAATTCAATTGCATATATTTCCCTTAAAGATTTTATCAGTTCAAAGAGAAAACAGCCTGAGTCCAAAGAAAGCTTCTTCTAGTACACAAAATAAGTTGATCAGAAGGCTGAAAACACTGCCTGTTTTAAGTCAAGACAATTATGAAAAGAAAAATTGGAAAGTATTTTGTATGAAATATTTCAATATTTAAAATTTGAAATTTAAATAAATTTAAAATCTCGTGTCTAGTGTATGACCATGTTCATGTATGTGAATGTGGGCATGTAGTGTGTGTACCACAGCACATGTCAGTGAGTGTGGGATGTAGTGTGTGTGCCACAGCACATGTGAGTGTGGGATATAGTGTGTGTGTCACAGCACATGTGAGTGAGTGTGGGATGTAGTGTGTGTGCCCCAGCACATGTGAGTGAGTGTGGGATGTAGTGTGTGTGCCCCAGCACATGTATGGAGGCAGGAGTACAACCTGGTGTCATCTTCAGAAACACCATCTACCACCTTGTGACCAGGTTTCTCCCTGGCCTGGAGTCACCAGTTAGGCTAGACTGATGGCCAGCAGGCCTCAGGGGCCCTCATGTCTCCCCTCCCCAGTGCTGGGATTCAAGTGTGCACCACTATGCCCAGCATTTTCAGGGGGGGCCTGGAGTTCAAACTCAGGTTCTCATGCTTGCAAGGCACACACATGACCAAACATCTCCTGGCCCCCATGGTTTTATTTTTAATCAACATAAAGCAACTGTGTTTATTTACGGGTCACAGTGTGACATTTACATGACATTACAACACATACATACAATGTATAGTGATCAGATTATAACATCAGGCATCTGTGCCATTTCTTTGAGTTGGGAACACTTGAAATCCTATTAGCTATGAAAAATGTTTTAAAAGATGTTACACATAAGGAATTCTACAGCATATAACTCCTTGAAAGAGACTTGCTTTTACTAAGCACTTCCCTGAGAGACATCTAGGTTGTACCATGTCCCAATAACCCACCTGCTTGCCCCTTATTAAAGTTATTTACTTTTAATTATGTGCATATGTGTGTGGGAATGTGCATGTGTGAGTCTAAGTGCTGAGATGAGGGTACTGGATCCCCTGGGGCTGGAGTTACAAGTATTATGAGCCACCCAACATTGGCACTGGGAGCCAAGCTCTCCAGTATCCCCACCCCCAATTCTGCCTTCACTGCCTTCACAAGTTGGCTGGTGGACAAGCCAGTTTGTTTTCCGAATTTACCTCACGGGGAAAAACCATTTAGACTATGCTTTCCGTTCCTGTACACTACAAGTGTTGCTATGAGTGCTCAATGCAGGCTTACATGTAAAGGTAAGCTAACACTTCTATCGGACACACATAGATGCAATTGTCGCTTTGAGTCTACCTTTCCCTTTGCTATGTGCCCTTGACGCCCTATTGCCAGTTTCTAAATGGGAGTGCAGTGGTAGGTTATATCAGCACAGCTGAAACTTCTCTCCCCAAAGCTAGTGCTGAACATCGTGGGATGGGCTCGCCATCGGTATCTTCTTGCTGCTCAAAGATCCGCTCTTAGCTTTTGACCTGTGGTTGGTGTGCACTTTGTTTAGCTTTCAAGCTTTGAGGACTGTATCTTTTCAGTAAAAGACCGCGGTCAGACGTGAGGCCGAGCAGAGCGTGGCCTGCCCGCTGAAGTCTGATCTGTACTGTTCCGCAGCTTGCCCTTCCACTGCTTCTACGGCTTTTCATCAGTCCACCTTGGTTTCTGTGCCTGCTACCCTCGGGGTCTTACCAGCTCTTCACTCTTCCCAAGGTTATAGAGGTCATCTCCTATAAGCTTCGTTTTTCACATTGAAATCCATGATCCACTGACAAGGCCTCCCTACGTAGCTCAGGCTAGCCTCAACCTCATGATCCTTCTGCTCAGCCTCCCCCAGTGCCCTGCTCTTGGTATGTAGGATTGCTTTGGCATTTAGGGGTTTGTGGTGATTCCACAGGAATTTGAGATTTGTTTTTCTATTTGTTAAGAATGTAATCCGTTAGTTCTTTCTTCAAGGTTTGATATAATTGGCAGTAACTCCATTTGGTCCTTACCTTTTTTTTTTTTTTCTTTCAAGACAGGGTTTGTGTGGCCCTGGCTGTCCTGGATCTCACTCTGTAGCCCAGGCTGGCCTCAAACTCACAGAGATTTGCCTGCCTCTGCCTCCTGAGTGCTGGGATTATAGGTGTGCACTACCACCATCCAGCTCTTAAGGCTTTCTTTGTGACCTAGAATGTGGTCTATTTTAGAGACGGTTCTAGGGGCTGCTGAGGGTGTGTGTATTCTTTTGTTGGATGGGATATTCTGTAGACATTCGGTCCATTTGATCCATGGTACAGGTTAACCCTGAAGTCTGCTGACTTCTAGTTTGGATGATCTGTCTAAAGGAGAGGGTGGGGCATTGAGGTCACCCACCGTCACTGCAGCAGGCCTTCTATGCTCACTAGTGTTCGTTTTATGAAACATTTGGTGTACATTATTTACAACTGTTATATCTTGGTGGATTGTTCCCTTTACTAACGTGCAGTGGCCTTCTTCATCTCTTCTGACTGACTGTGAAGGACTTTATCACATGCCAGAAAAGCTACCTCTGCCAACTTCTGTTTGGCTTCCATCTACATTGACTTCCAGCCTTTGGTTCATGGTCTAGGACCAGTGAGCTGTCTCTTGGAAGTAACAGATAGTTGGAACTTACTATTTTTCTTCCCAATCTAATCTGCCCGTGCTTTAGTTGAGTCCATTTACATATAAGATTAATGAAGGATATTTATTAGTTCTTGTGACTTTATTGGCTGTTTTGTTAGTTGGTTTTAGGTTTTTATCAATTACTATTAGGGGTTTTTGTTTACTGTGTTGGACAAGATGGATTCCTTCCTAGCTCTCCTTTGTTAATCTATCTGATATGAGATTTACTTTTTCCTGTGTGCTGGTGATTGAGACTTTCTTCTTCCACTGAGTACAGTATTCTAAATATCTTCTTAAGTGCTGGCTTGTCCTCAGATGGCCTCATTTCATCATCACTCAAGTGATAGATTTCCTGGAGACGGCGACCTTATTTTCTTTTCTTTCAGGGCTTAAACTATATCCTCCATGCTTCTAGGCCTTTAGGGTTGCTGATGAGAAGTCTTGATGTCTTTCTGATGTATCTGCCTCTGTAGGTAAGTTGTTTTCCATATATATATGTTTTCAGAGACAGGGTTTCTTTGTGTAGTTTTGGTTCCTGTCCTGGAACTCACTCTGTAGCCCAGGCTGGCCTCGAACTCACAGAGATCCACCTGGCTCTGCCTCCCGAGTGCTGGGATCAAAGGTGTGCGCCACCGCTGCCTGGCTAAGCTTTTTTTCTTCTTCTTGAATTTCTATGTGCATAGTAAGTACTTATAATTTCATATTGACTTGGTATCTATTTTTGTTTTTCAGAGCTAGGAATCAAACCCAGGGCCTCATGCATGTTAGCCAAGTACTCTATTGGTGAGATGCACTCCCCCTCTGGCATCCAGTTTTAAAATATGTCTAACTTTCAGGGTCAGTTATTCTTAGATGTTTTCAACTATACCCCACCTAAATGGCTCCTTCCAGTGACCACTGGTCAACTAAGACACAACTCCACCTAGGTGGCCAAGCACCCTGCCTTCCTGCTGCTTCCTTTATGTGGGATTCAGATGTTCACTCTGAATGCAGAGTGATACCTCTGATCACAGCACAAGCTCCTGGGCTTGACCTCAGCCAATCAAAGCTCCCCATGGGAAACCTGCTAGCATAACACCAGACTTTTTCACTTAACATGCCCTTTCTCTCCAGCTCCTTTCAAGACTTTAGTTTTCGCAAGTTAGATCTGACGTGGCTTGGCGTGGATCTGACTTCCCCTTGGGGTTTCCTCACAGTGTCCTGATCACTAAGTCTGTAGAATTTCCAAGCGCTATTTGTTCAGTTTCTTCTCTGTGTGCTTTATTTTCTTCTGAGTTCACTGATTCCTTCTGGTGTTGTCTCCAATGCACTACCGACTGTCAGTGAGTTTTTATTCTGGTTATTTTAGTTTTCAGTTCTATGTTTCCATTTGGTTCATTTTTATAGTCTCTATTTCTCTGCTGAGTTGCTTATTTGTTTGCATAAAGAATTCATAACTTTTTACTTCTGGTTAAAATAAATTTGACTCCTTTATAATTCCTACACCTGAGTCATCATGTATTGTCATCTTGCTTTGTCTCATAAGAGACTGTCCTGTTTTTATGATGAGTAACTTTCGACTGTTAGAGACGTGGAGCCCTACGCTGTGCGACTTTAGGTCGACTTCATCTTCTCAGGAGGAGGCCATTCTCTTTGCAGTAGGTGCATGGTTGAGTTGTTAACTCCCTGCTAGGCTCTACTACGGACACCGCCCGCCTTAACAGTACCGCGGGGTGTAGGTCTGCTGACTCTGGTGCTTGGGGGGGCTGGAGGGGGGCTACAGCACCGACTGTTACCATATTGTTTCTCCTTGTTACTATTAGATAGAGTTAACTTAGCTCCACATTGGTTTTGTTACCAGCATTCAGAAAAAGTAGGGCACCAACCTGTGTCGTCTCCTACTTACCTACCTCCCTGTGGCTGTGTGAGGGTGGAAAGTCCGTTTCCTGCTCCACTTTTGTGGACAGTGCCTCAACATGGGGAACAGCATACAGATTTGCTCTCTTGCTCTGTATGTGGGGTGAGAGTGCTCCCTACTCAGCCCAGCCTCACTGGCGATGTGAGGAGGACCGGCAGCTTTTCCTTTAGTGTCTGGCTGAGGTATGGGTCTGTAAGGCTGTCCTTTCCCCTTGGGGTTGTGCCTGCAGGAGGTATGGGCTTCTCCAGCATCCCAAGGATGATGTAGGAGAGGAGGGAAGGAAACCTGGGAATACATGGCTGTGCTGCTTCTCAACTGAGTCTGAGTCTCTGACCAGGCTGTTGCCTTCCATCCTCCAGTCTTTTAGGTTTCTGAGAATGTGTCTTAGGGGATTTTAGTCCTAACAAGGAGGAACAGGAAGGGGTAGGCAGGTTTTTATAGTAAGGTGCTGATTATTTGACTACAGAAGTTTTAAAAAGAGGATCATTTTCTTTTCTACTTTCGTTCAGGTATATTGTGCTCGTTGTACTGCTAAAGAAGTGATGCACTATGTGTGGATCCCACGTGTGGATCTTCTGGCACTGGCTATACCAAAAGTGTCTAGAGAAGCTTCTTGAAAAATGCAGTCCTGATAGTAAGTCTCTGTCTCTGGGGAAACAGCATAGTCTGGTGTCCAAGCCCTAGAGGTCCTGATGCAGGAGACTGGGGCAAGGGGCAAGGCTCAGACCCATCTTTTTAATCAGTTTTCCAGGTGATACTGATGCAGACCCAGGCATGGGATCTATTGCTTAGACTGTAACACTCCACAGATGCCCATTTGCAGGGCTTACAGAGTTACTGTATGTGACGTCTATGCCAAGAAGTCACCACTAACTACTATGGCATGTCTCGCCCATCTCTGTATCCTAGCTATTCAGTAACTATTTTTGATTAGGTAAAGAAAAAATACACAATTCAGACTTTTCAGTGAAATAATATCAGCAGTAGAGGATAAGACAATCTAAACAAAACTAAACGTGTCAGATGCCAGCCAGAGCACGGCCTCACACCAGTGGTGTCTGTGAACTGCTTAAATTGATCTGCAACAATTGAGTACAAAAATCCAAAGTCAAAGTTTAGAAACTTTCAGAGGGTCCACTAGGATCCTGTTGAATTAAAAATTAGGACTTACTTTAGTAATTATTTATAATTGTAGAAAATACATAAAATGTAAAAGTTACGACTTTTTTTATGGTGGGGAATATATTGGTGGGTGAAAGGCTTCACTGTTTAGAGCAGACCAAAGGAAACAGGTTTATTTCGTACTGCAAAGAGAGCAGCAGACGGGGCAGAAACAATGGGCTGCCCACCACATCCACTGTCCTGAAGTATACAACTCTATGGTACTGAGCACAGCCACACCGCTGTGACCGTCACCACTACTCACTCTTCTGTAACTCAAACTACATCACCACTACTCACCCTCGGAACTGCTTACTCTTCTGTAACTCAAACTCTGGGCCTACCAAACAATAACTCCTTTCTCCTCTAGCTCCTGTAAGTTCCACTGGACCCACATACATATGCAAATACACACACACACATACATACACTTATACATACATACATACATATACATATGCATATATATACATGTATACATACACACATACACACATATGCATATACACACATGCACACTTATATACATACATACACACATATACACATACATACACACATACATATACATATACATACATATATACACACTTATATATGCACATAATACATACATACTTTGGGGGCAATGTTGGGGACTGAACTGAGGGCCTCGCACATGCTAGAAAACTACTCTATCATGGCCCACACCTCCAGCGTCTATGTATTTAAAAAATTCACTCTTCAAGTCATTTTTTATTTCATTTTCTAAGCGTTTTAGGTGCCAGACAACTGATTCTTCACCACAGATAACGTGAAAGCTGTGTCAGACAACTATCCTGGTTAGTTCTTATTGTCAACTTGACACAAACCCAGAGTTACCTGGGAAGAGAAAAGCTAAACTGAGGATCTACCCAGACTCAACTGGCCTGCAGTCTTGTCTTCGCAAGAACGTTTTTTGACTATGCATTGATGTGAAGGGCCCAGCCCACTGTGGGAGGCACCATCCCTAGGCTGTGGAAGCCTGAGCTCCTGCCTGACTTCCCCCAATGATGGGTTGTGACCTGGAAGTGTAAGCCATGTAAACCTTTCCTTCTCCAACACTTTTGGTTGTGGTGTTTGCGCCAGCAACAGAATTAAACCAGGACAACTACGCAGACTGCTTACCACCTGGCCTGTGGGCAGGGCATAGGTGTTGCCTCGGATGACCCTTCTGTCATACATTATGTTCCCGTAATTCAAAGGTTCGTCAGGTCTGAAAAACAGAAAATCCTAAGTGAATAGTATAGTATTTGAATCCATTAAGTGAACCTATTTCAATAGAATTTATATTAAAAATGTTTTACAAGGGCTGGAGAGATAGCTTGGCAGTTAAGAGCACTGACTTTTCCAGAGAACCTGGGTTTGGTTCCCAGCACCCATATGGTATCTGACAATCATCTATAATTCCAGTTTCATGGGACCTTTTGTCTCTGGTAATACACACATATACACACATACACATAAACACTCATACATATAAAATAAAATTATCTGAAATTGTATAAAAGAAAGTGCAGTATAGTCCATAAAATAAGGAGACAGATAGCTATCATTTAATAGTTACTATATGGCTGGACCTTAAAAATTTTATTTATTACTAAAAATTTTTATTTATTATAATTTCATGTTGGGAACTATTAATCCTACTGAACAGAAGAAAAATGGAAAGGAATCTGCCCAGATTCCCCTCTTAGTAAAACACAGCTCTAGGCTCAGGCATAAACATTTAAGACTGTTCAGCAAATATGAACAGGGCCCATGAATCAGAGTCTGTCCTAAGAGACTAAAAAAAGCCCCATTCAGGGATTGAAAACGTACATTTAATAAAAGAATCAAGTTTTAAAAGAAAGTCAAACTTCACATTGTTCTTTAAACCTAAAGGAACTGTCAAAATGTTAACAAATTTTGAATGTCAGGAATTATAATGACAGTGAAGAGTTCAAACATAAAGGTGACCCTTGTGGGGTCCTTCAGTGCATTTCTGTTTATAGCAGTGAGGCCCACCCTCAGCCTACATCCATGACAGGCTCTCAGAAGTGGGCGAGTGGGCGGAGCCGCTGACACAGACTGAAGCCTCTCCTGAACACACAGGCATGGTTTCTGTCCATGTTACTTGGTCTCAGGTTGTGCCAGCTCTAACACCAATTGCTAAATGATCTTATTAATTTAAAAAACCAGAGCCAGATATTGGGGTGAAAGCTGGAAGATCAGAGAAACAGTACAAGCCAGCCATGTTCTTACCTCTACGAAATCCTCAGCCTCAAGAGAGAGAGACTTCCTGTTTACTCACACCTTATATACCTTTCTGTGACCTGCCATCTTCCCTCCTTCCTAGTGCTGGGATTAAAGGTGTGTGCCACCACTCCTGGCTCTGTTTCCAGTGTGGCCTTGAATTCACAGAGATCCGGATGGATCTCTGCCTCCGGAATGCTAGGATTAAAGGCATGTGCCTGATCTCTGTTTTTAATCTAGTGGCTGACTCTGTCCTCTGATCCCCAGGCAAGCTTTATTGGGGTACACAATATATCACTACAACCAGCTCCTGTGTGGGAGCGCTCTCTTTTCTAGCCTCATATGCTACTTTCAGAGTTGTTTCCCGGCTACTTATCTGTGGTGGTATTTTGTTTGTGCTCTAACAAATAAAGCTTGCCTCGAGATCAGAGGTGGAGCTAGCCATTAGTTAACCATAGAGGTCTGGAGGTTTGTACAGACAGGAAGTGACATGGCTGGGTGGAGAGAGGAATATAAGGTGGGTGGAGACAGAAGCTCACTCTCTTTTGGGTCTGAAGAGTCGTGGAGGTAAGAGGTGAGATTGGTTGCTCCTTTACTTCTGTGATCTTTCAGCATTTACCCTGATATCTGACTCTGGGTTTTTATTATTAATATCAATTAGAATATTAATTGGTGCATGAATTCATGAAAAAGTTGCTTGCCTGTGTCTTTACAGCCACCAGCACACGCAGGGGCTCCCTCCCGAGTCATACCCTTGCCAGCTAGGTTTCTTCTCTTTTTGCTAAGCTGTGAGCAAGTTTGGGATTTTTTTGTTGTTGTTGCAACCTCTCTGCAACAAACTCCACAGGCACGAGGACTCAATATATGGCTGCAGTTAGCCCCTCACCACCAGCCAGCTCTGCTTTTAGGCATTTCCCGACACACGTGTTTCTTACCCATAACCCCCCGTGTGCGTTTTTCAGACAGTGGGGTCCCTCTCCCAGTGGATTGTGGGTTTTCACTGGACCCCCTCCTCGGGCTGTTGTCACGTTAGGTAGCTGCCTGGACACCCTCTCTGGCTTCTACTGTTCTAAGCAGCAGCAGTCAGCCTCACATTTCACCATCATCTGAATCGTCATCGTGGGCAGATTTGGTAAGACAATTGGGAATTCTTAAAGGTTGAAATTAGTTAAAGGAGTTTTTTCCCACATTAAAAAATGGGAAACAAGGCCGGGCGGTGGTGGCGTATGCCTTTAATCCCAGCACTCGGGAGGCAGAGCCAGGCGGATCTCTTTGAGTTCGAGGCCAGCCTGTGCTACCAAGTGAGCTCCAGGAAAGGCGCAAAGCTACACAGAGAAACCCTGTCTCGAAAAACCAAAAAAAAAAAAAAAAAAAAAAAAAAAAAAAAAAAAAAAAAAAAAAAAATGGGAAACACTATTACAATGGAGGAAGTTAGGTCTCTGTATGATAACATGCTGGATGGTTTGAAACTTGAACAACTAAATGAGAGGATAATTAATGGGATTTATGTAATGTCAATTATAAACATTATTGGTTTTATTTTTGTTTTATCACTAAAAAAGTTGGTTAATTTGAGTGCTAAGTTACAAGTTTTAGAAAAACTTATTAAACTAGATCATAGAGATATTCAGACCCAGACAGAGGAATTTAAAGGATAAACAAATCTCAGTGTTTCCGTTATAAGGTTAGAAAGGAGCAGCCGAAGGTTTTCAAACAGCCAACTTGAACTTAACCAGTCACCTTACAGGAATTGCCAAATGATAGATATCCCCAAGACTGTGTAAAAGCTGAATGGACTCCTGTGGAAATGTTAGATTTAAGGAGATTCAAGAAAGCAATAGTCAGCCGGGCGGTGGTGGCGCACTCCTTTAATACCAGCACTTGGGAGGCAGAGCCAGGCAGATCTCTGTGAGTTCAAGGCCAGCCTGGTCTCTAAAGCGAGTTCCAGGAAAGGCGCAAAGCTACACAGAGAAACCCTGTCTTGAAAAACCAAAAAAAAAAAAAAAAGAAAAAAAAGAAAAAAAAAAAGAAAGCAATAGTCTCATATGGCATGCATTCACTTTTTGTGAAGCAGACATTAAACTCATGATCAACTTGTAATAGAATTATCCCTCAAGACTGGAGAGATTTGATTACAGCAGTTTTGGAGGCCGGTCCTAATTACAGTGGAGGACCTGGTGGGAAGATGAGGCTAAGAAGGGCCAAAGGTATGAAAATATCCCAAGTCCAACTTCTTGGAGAGGGAGATTATGCTAATGTACAAAGGCAATCTCTACATGATGACTACATCCTGGCTTTATGCTACAAAGCAGCCTTAATTGCTTGGGATAGAATTGAAGAAGTAGGAAAGAAAACTGAGTTATGTACTAAAGTTATACAAGGTCCAAAAGAAACCTTCACTAAATCTTACAAAGATTGACTATAGTAGTAAATAGAATGATACCAAATAATCATGACAAAAAATAATTGAATCTCTGGCTTTGGAAAATGGTAATGCACAACCAAAAGGGTAATGAGGCCATTAAAGGCAAGATCAGCACCCTTGGAGAATGAATCCGAGATACAGCCAATACTGAATCTCATAACCATGATGATGCTTGGATAGGAAAGGTGATTTCCAGAGGTTTGAAGAAAAAATCAACATGTCAAGTGTTTCAACTGTGGTAAACAAGGTCAACCTAAAAAGGGATTGAAACAGGGCATTCCTAGAAACAATGTTTTTCCTAAGAATAATCCCAACAGAATGCTCCTCCCTTCTGGAGTATGCAGAGGTGTGGCAAAGGCAGACACTGGACTAGCGAATGTAGATCAACAAGGGACAGACAAGGTAACCCTTTGCCATTGGGAAATGCCTTGAGGGACCTCTCGCAGGCCCCCATGTCAAATTCAGTTCAGTTATTTCCTGTCATTGTGGAGAAAACTCCTTCCCAGAGCAATTAAAGAACCTAATGCCTATTGTAAAATACCATAATGCTCTAGATGATAGAACAGCTTTAGAAAATAAAACAAAAAATTCAGGAGAAACCATAAGTCAAAATTGATAAAGATTAGACTTGAACAAGAGATACCTCTTGATTAGAAGAGATAATAATTCATTAAACAGTGTGATCACTCAATGTAAGCTAACCTATAAAACTAAGAAATGCTTTTTATTTGATCAGATTTAACTTGCCAAAAGGGAAACTCCCTGAAGTTAGGGTTGGGGCAGGGTTTTATTTTTGTCTTTCAGGAGAATGAAGGCATCCAGTAAAGGAATCTGAAGACCACTGGACAAATGAGACATGTAGAAAAAGGACAAAACATCCAAAAAAAGATGTTCCAAAAAAAGGAGTAAATTGGCCTACTGGTAGATCACATCTCCAACAGGACAAAATTTCACAAATCTTCCCAAATGTTTGTTTCTGCTGTTCTCTACAGACACATGAAGCAAATGGTCTTTTTGTAGTCCCAGTTCAATTGAAAATTAAAGCTGGCTTTGGAGTTGATGCTTGTTAAAAGGAAAACCCAAAATCTCTGTCTCATGTCAGAAGAGCCACCTGATATGGGACAGAAGAAAAACCAAAATTAGGGACTAATTTTTTGGTTTTAACTCTTTAAAGTTTTTCTTTTCTTTTTTAAAAAAGATTTATTTATTTGTTTGTTTATTTATTATGTTAAGAGCATTCTCCCTTCATGTATGCCTGCATGCCAAGAGAGGGCACCAGATCTCATTACAGATGGTTGTGAGCTATCATGTGGTTGCTGGGAATTGAACTCAGGACCTATGGAAGAGCAGCCAGTGCCATCTCTCCAGCCTCTTTAAATCCTTTCTTAAGGTATAAATATTACCTCAAAATTTATAAGATTAACATACATTTTAAACTTTTTTTCATGACATTAATGGTCATATAGAGTACTAACTAATTCTAGAAAAAGGCTTCATTTAGCTTCCTGTACATGTTTCAGGTTTGAGTCTTTATCAGGTAACTAGCAATTAAGTTT